TACACATACGTCTACAAATTACATTTATAGATACATATTTATACACACACACACACACACACACACACACACGTGTATATATATATACACATCTACATTTTCATATGCAAGATGCATATGCTTTTAAGAAATTAATACTAAAATTAATTTTATTCACATTAAATTGATCAAAAGTAACAGTAAATACATTTATCATATTACAAATGATGATGATAATTAGAAATGTTTCTTGATCACCAATCAGCATATTAGAATGATTTCTGAAGGATCATGTGATGCTGAAAAGTGCAGTAATGATGCTGAAAATTCAGCTTTGCCATCACAGGTATAAATTACAAATTAATTTAATTTTTAAAAAGAAAAAAGAACACCATAACTGTAAATTGTACAGTATTAATATTAATTAATATTAATATAATACTTCACTGTTTTGTGTTTACGATCACATAAGAGACTTCTATTTAAAAAAGAAAAAATGAAAAAAATGATTTTAATGAATGTTAATGTAGATCTAAATTAAACATAAATTAAGATATTATTGTATATTACTGTTAAAAATATAACCAAGATTGATGACAACATCTAATGTTTGATAAATAATGTGAGACAATATTTCAATTCAAAAACACAACTACAGTGTTGTGCATTTCTATCTGAGAGGTAAAGGCAAAAACATGCATTTTCTATAAATAAACAGAAGAGGAAGTGTTTTTACAATCAAGGTTTTAGCACTATATATTGTATGGTGTCTATTGTGAATGTGCTAAAAATCTGATCTACATCTAGATAGCATCTTACACAACCATGCCATTATTCCATTGCCTTTTAACCCCTAAAAAAGCAAAGTAACTACTAAAACAGACGAAAAACTGAAAAACATGTAGCACAATCACAAGATGTTTTTTTTTTCAAAGCCTGCTAGGCAAAACACCCTTTTATTCAAAACAATTATGTTTACAGCTGCTTTTATTCAGTTATTTGCTGTTATTGATGCTGGTATTGAGTAATTGAGCTATTCTTGCACATGTTGGTTCATTGTAGTATATTTTTAACCCAAGGTTTTCTGCCACGAGGCTGTTGAAATAACATGGCACACTCCACAATCCAATCTTTGCATCGGTGTTTGAGGTTTAGTACCATGTTATCCTTTGTAAAGAAGTCAACATATAACCACTGAGCAGTACAACCTTCAGCCACACACATATATATATA